CCGCAGTCAGCCCTCCACACCCGCCACGAGGAGGGCTGTGCAGCGCTGCAGCATCACAGGGACCCGTTTACTACGCGAGTGTCCAGGGCCCCTCCACCTGAGGACGTCCTCGTCCTCTCCGTGGAGGGCGCCCCAGCCCCGCCTGTACCAAGCACGTGCCAAAGGGGAGTTCACTGTAACGCTTGATGCCTCCAGTGAGGCAAGCGCGGCTGTCCTCTTTCTAGACAGGGAAACAGCGGAGAGGCCCACAGCAGCAGTGCACAGACCACTCCTACATCCCCGTATCCCCCCGCTGAGCTCTGCGCCTACCTACGGAGCCTAACCAGACCAACCACTTCTCACGTCCTGTCCACTCCATCCATGCAGCCACAGTCCACACTCTAACGTCAAGTCCAGACCTTCCTGATGAGCACTTTACCGTTAATTTTTCTTCACCTTCCAACCAAGTCCTCAACCTATCCTAACTTAGATGCAAAAATCATTCCCCTGAAAATGTCATTTTAATCACTATTTTGAAGTCATTTCCATGTGCTAATTTCCAACCGCCTCTCCTTTCAAAAGTAAAACAATAATCCACGGTTATTCTGTCTTCCTTAAACTGTTCACATTTACTGACATCTCCTGTACCCCAATCTCTGCTCCACATGTCAAGCAGAAAAACTAGCTTATTAAACCACGAACAATCCTGCTCACTCCCATTTGTGACTTTCATACATGCCTTACCCTAGCCTAAAACATCGTCCCATTTCCCTTCTAATAAATCATGCCTCTGCCCTCAATGTTCATCTATTCCCCAAAGATTCTCAGGCAACACCCTTGTAGGATTATTCTGAACTCCACCACCTACTGCCCAGTTTCCCAAAAGAAACTAAGTTACCGTGCTAGAGGCAGAATTAAGTCCCATTCATGACCTGACACCCATCACACCATCCTAAGCCCTCTGGTTGGCTTGTACAGCCTGAGCCCATCCAAACCATCCAAAGATCCACACCTATTCTCCTAAAGAAACTTGCCCTAAAGTCAGGTGTATGGCTTCCCTCTCCTTCCTCCCTGCCTGCATCCACTCCTACGTTGCCCTTTCTCATTGCTTAAGACAGGAGGCACACAGCAACTCTGACACTGGTCAAAGCCAAGAACTGTCCTGGACCACAGGCCAGTGAGAGGGTGGATGAACCCACATGTCAAACAGCTCTTGCTGCCACCGTGTTATTCTTGGATTGACTCTAAGGGACCCATTTTCAAAGCGATGGCTCATGTGATCCCTCTGGGAAGACAGGCCCTTGGGAAGGCCGAGGAAGGGCCATCAGACCTAGTCCTCACAGAGAGATAAAGGGGCGGCGGGGGGCGGTGATTTTTGTTTTCTTTCATGTCACCTGAGTGGTAAGAATTCAACAGCCAAGGAGTTCCCTGGCGGCCCAGTGGTTAGGACTCCGCACTTTCACTGCCAAGGGCCTGGGTTCAATCCCTGGTCTGGAACTAAGATCCCACAAGCTGCGCAGTGCAGCCAAAAAAAGAAAAAAAAAAAAAAAAAAGAATTCAAGAGCCAAAATTAAGTGAGAGATGCCTCTTGGGAGGCCATCTTCTAGGCCAGGCCTCAGACCAGAGAAGCAGAAGTCTTCAAGGGCCAGCTCGTGTTCAAGGTTCACAGTGAAGCCGACCACAAGCACTCGGGCCCACTTCGACCCTCCCTTCCTATACACCCAGTGACCTGTAGCACACACTAGCCTCACGAGATACCACAGCAATTTTTAAAAAAGAGCATGCAGGAACGGGAGGCTGGGTGGTCCCTTAGGACCAAATACTCAGCCAGGCACAGAGAATATAACGGGAGACCCTGCCCTTCCACCAATTTATACTGTAAGATGGGACTAAAACCATTCTGTCTGAAGGAAAAGTACAGGATGCTATGACAACATCCAACAGGAAGAAAAATCTTGTCTAGGCAGTCAGATAAGGAAATGAGTCTGGGCCGGAGGCTAAGTCCTGTAATACAAATCCTTTCAAGCCGTGGTACAGTTTTAAGGTTTGGGGTGGTAGGGGGTTTGGGTCAGGGTTTTGTTTGTTTTTTGGTCTTTATCCTAAGAGCAAAGAGAAGCCACTGAAAACTGACTTAAGCAGGGGAATGACATAATCAGACTGAATTGTTAAAAATTACTCAGGCTACAGTATACAAAGTGGACTGGCGAGTGGCAATGAGATAATGCTATCAGGAGCAGAGATCCAGGCAAAATGACAGGGGCCTGGACTCAGTGGAGGCAGTGGCGATGGAGGTGGCTGATGAATTCTGGATGCATCGATGAGGGGAAACGTACAGGACTTATGGGGAGACAGGCCGGGGCTGGAAGGGGAGAGAAAAGTGAGAGGAGAGGTGGGTAACAAGGAGGATCCCAGGTCTCTTGTCTGGATGGTGGTGCCCTGGAGAGGCTGGGAAAGCCTGGTGTCCAGTGGGGTAGGGGCAGGATAGCATGAGTCAGATGTGAGAAAGTAAAATTAGCCTGCTCTGAGAAAGTGAAAATCTGTCCTGCAATTTGCTAGGCTGGGATAACAGACACAGAAAGCTGGCTGTCAAGTTAACAGGAAACAACATTTCTCCCAAGGACACACTGCAAGAGTAAAGTGTCATGATGAACCCTTCTTTCAGTGGCTACTGATTTCTTGTTCAGAGAAAGTTTACTCTTTAAAATCCTAGACTATCAGAAATTGTGCTGTTTGGAATTATACTAGTAAGAAGGAGGAAACATCCACTCTCACCTGCAGGGTCGCAGTCACTGTGACACAGAGCAGAGCCTTGATAGCCAGCTAGCTGCAGAGCTGCAAATAAAGGATTTCTAGACCTGATGTGCCACCATCTACCTAAATTTTGTAGTTTTCAACGAAGCAGGACCTGAGGCCACTGCAGTAAGACCTAATGCTGACCCCTTCACACACAGACCTACTCTGCTTGGAGCCCATGAAATCACAGCTCCATCTGCACTCCATCTAAACTCGGCCCTGCCTCAAATCCTACAGCAACTCTGTCCTTTCCTTTGTTGGCAAGATGCCCACAGTCCCTCTGGTGTGTGGTCTCCCTCACTGCAACGAGCCAATAATCTGCCCTTGTCAGAATACATGTCCTTCCTGATGGCTGCAGGCTGATAACACTAAGACAAACACTTAGAATTTGAAATGAATGTGAAACAAGCGAGAAGAAATGCCAAGTAGGAGTTAGATACAGGGCCCTGAGCCTGGAGAAGAAGTCAGGCTAGAGAATAACCTATGAGACACTGGCATCAAGATGGCAACTAAAGCTATGTGTGTGCAGAGACTGCCCACAGAGAGGCCACGGAGTGAGGAGAGAAGGGGGCCTAGGCCTGAGCCTCGAGCACCTCCATGAGCTGAAAGGCTGCTGCAAAGAAGGCTCACTCAGCAAAGCAGACGGAGAAGATCAATGGAAAAGAGGTGATGGTGTGGCTGGGGAAGACCAAGGGCTGTGAGGCAAGATCTCCTAAAGCCTAACTTTGATCAAGTCGCCATGGATTCATTTGTGGGCCTCGTTTTTGTAACCACCAGCCTGATTTTGACAGCAGACTAATCTCCAAAAATTGACTTGTGCTCACCAACTCATGAGAAGACCCTGATGTATTCTTCAGAATGCCAGTTTATTAATTTTCAGTGAGAAATACAACTACCCAGCAGGCTGACATACTCAGCTGCTGATCAGCACTTTCCTTCCCTAAATAAGCATGAGATCAGGACTAAGAAAATTAAGAAGACAACAACCTGGAGCTATGGTAACCAGTGGCAGAGGGCATACCTGGCAGCGTCCCAGCGGGAAACAAGGGAACCCTGGTGTGGCCTTTATGGAAAGGACTACGTACAGGGGGGACAGCAGGGGTCAGAGACCCAAAAGGGCTGGTAGGGCACCCAGGGACCCTAGCAGCAGCCCTCCAGCTGAAAGAATGAGGGGGGGAAACAGTGCTCCTGGAGCCCAGTGAGAGCTGCGGGTGGCTCCCGGGTGCGAGTCACAGCTGTGGAAGAAGCAGGAGGAAACACCCCACACTCCTTCTGCCCGCTGACGCCTTCTGTCAGTGAGCACCCCTGACAGCCAGCAAGGAGGCAAGAGGCACGCAGCCTGCAGGAGCCCACCTCGCTCGCAGGGCACACCACAGGGCCGAGAGTGGATCTGAGGATTCCAAGAGAGAATAAACAGGCAGGGAGCCATGGCAACCAAGAGCATTCTCCCCTCTAACTGGACGTGGCTGCCCCCTTGGCCAGATACTTTTCCACACACCAGAAACTTGTAGTGTTGAGTCCAGATACCTTCTTGCCTGAACTAGCGCTAAAGACATGACCTGGGCCTCCCAGATACACCTCTCTAGAGGCTACGCAGTTGATGGCAAACAATCAAACACAACGGTAAGTTAGCCTTAACCCCTGAAGGCTGATTTGATAGTAACTCGGCCTCAGTCAGGCAAGTACTGAGTCAATCCGAAACAGCTCCAAGAACTTCAGCAGGGCTCCTAGACTGATACCTGACACAAAGGCTAAGCTCAAATCTCAGAATCTGAATGCACAAGCCCTAGCAACTTAAATCAGGGCTAAAACTGACCCGTTCCTCCATCGAGAGAAATATCTCTATAGACATATCTGACCCCCTGCAAGGTCGCTGCATGGCAAGATCCTTAAGTGACACAAAAAAGACTTAATTTTTGGAATAGAGCTTTTATATGATCAAGCATAAAATTCTTCCGCCAAAGATGAAAGGGGGAGAAAGGAGAGCTGGTAGCAGATACTCAGAAAGTTGGCAGCCCTTTCCTCCAACACAAATTTGCACACAGCCAAGTTGCTCATCGTGGGCACCTCCCTCCCTTGTGCCTTATCAGACTCTCCCAAACGTAATTACAAAGACTATAACAGTACCTTAAAGTTTATTTATAGTCACTTCACAGCTACGGAAGGCAAACCTGCCGAAACAGACTGCTGTCACCATCAGACACTGCTAAAGATGACGTAACACTCACTTTTTTCTACAATCTTTAATTTCTGGAAGCTTTCCAGCACTTCCCCGTTTAGTATTCTGGGTAAGAAGTCCCGTATTTGCATCACTTCAGTTGTCAGTCGTTCCAGGTCCTTCTTTCTGACTTTAACAAATTGTTCTTTGGTTCCCATATGCTAAAAGAACAAAAGCACACCTTAAGATTACTACACTTGTCCTCAGATGACTAAAACCAGCAGCCCAAGTGAGCTTGCCTCCTTCTCTTTAACACCTCCTGGGTTCACAACTGTTTCAAAAGCACGTCTTCACCTAACGTGCCCTCCACTATGTACATTACAGCTAGAGCGGTGAAGCCCCAGCCTTCAAATGACGAGCCAGTTTTTCCAAGCGCAAACGAGGCCCTACTGATGAAAGCCCAGAGAAACGCCAGCAACTTTTTCTTAACGCTCCGCCAGCGCCACGCTAATCACAAGGGAAATGAATTTGACTGGATTCCCACGGGGTGCGCCAAGCCCCTTACTGGCCAGCGCGCTTCGTGTTCACCACAGCCCTCAAGGCTGTCCCGCTGGGAAACGGGGGCCCGGGCAGGCTAGGTGACTCTCAGGAACCCCAAGACCAGGGGACACCAGCAGGATCTGAACCCGGATGCGGCTCCAAAGTCCATCCCCCCGCTCGGGCACCACCACAGGCGGCGGCTGTGACAGCCGGGCAACCGTGAGGCCGAACAAGCCCGACCCGGCGACAGGGCCTCGCGGGCGGGGACACAGGAGGCACAGGAGCACGCCCACCGCCCACCGCTCAGCCTCCCAGACCCACACGCGCGCTTTCCGGGGCTGGGGTCGCCGCCCCCCATCCCCGGCCCAGGCCATGCTGTCCGCAGACGACGCCCAGAGCCCTCCCGGGCACACTGGGCAAGGCCCAGGCGGGCTGCGGTGCGGCTCAGCGTGGGGGAGCGGAGGGCGCCACAGCCCGGGCCCGCGGACGGCAGGCGGCCCGGCGCCCACACTGACCCGGCAGGTCTCCTCAGCGCCGCCCGCCTCCCCCATGGCCGCCGCAGCCTCGGCTCAGTGCGCCTGCGCGGCGGCGCGCCCTCTGACCCTCACGCCAGAAAGCGCGGGAACGCGTCCACGCCGAGAGTCGGGCGCGCAGAGCCGCGAGGCTCAGGCCTCGCAGAGTTTGGGCAGCCTTCTCGGCGAGAAACCCGGGTGCTTAGTCGGCAAGATCCCGTGTTGGCTCTCCTGGCTTAGCGGGGATTGTAAACTTGTTAATCGCAAAGTAAAAGGACAGTGAGACCCACGTGTAAGTGTCCTGTGAAATAAATCGAATCAGGCCTCTGGGGGGGGGGGGAATGTCAGACCAAGGGGCGATGCGTTCAAGGGGAACCAGCGGCCGTTGGCCTGGCACCCGCGCTCAGCCCAAGCTCCATGAGCAAAGGCCGAGGCTTTCCGACCACAGGCTGCTCGGGAGGTCTGCCCCGGTAGGGGGCCTTCGTGCAGCCGGCTGCTAAGTAACTGAGACGACCACCATGAACTGGGAGACATCACCCAGTCCATTGCCCTGCTCCTACACGCCCACAGAGTTCGCAAAACAAGGTGCAGGCTGTGCGTTCAAAGGTGCCGGTTCCCGCACAACTAGGACTTCCTCTGTCTGAAGCCGGCCGCGAGCCGACACCGCCGAGTCCCCGGCGTGCGTGCCCTCCAGGCCCGCGGGCGGACCCACAAGCTCACGCTCCCAATCCTCGCGGCAGGGACACGGGCACTGGCGGTCGCCGGTGGGAGAGGTGAAGCCCGGCCGCCGCTAGGGCGGCCGGAGAGAGAGCTGCTCGCAACATCCCACCAAAATCCCCAAGGGCGGCCTCTCTCCCCCGCCTCCACACCGCCCAGGCGGCCCGAGGAGTCCAATGCGATTAAAGACTCGGTGCCGCGTATCCCGGGGAACAGCTCCCGATCGGATGGGGACTTCGTGGAGTGGGCGCAAAAATGCTAGATGACGTAACAGTGGCCATCCGTCTCTTCCTGGCCAACACCCAACGCCGGCTAACCTCGCAGTCAACGGCCCTGAACTTTAGCGACCGAGAGACTGCGGAACCGGGCAGGCGCGACGCGAACCTGAGCTGCGGGGGCCCGCCCCCTGCCCAGGCAGCCGCGCTTGCTCTCAGAACGCGCTGCGAGCGGCGTCCGGCGTCTTTGTGATGCCATCAACCCGCGCGCCGCCGCCCGCCCCGCCGCCTTCTGCGCAGTCGCGGCCCGGGCAGCACGGCGGCTGGCGCTCGGCGGCGGTGGGCTACGGCCGGGGATGCTTCAGCGGGTGCGATGGCCCCCGCCATGCAGCCGGCCGAGATCCAGTTCGCTCAGCGGCTGGCATCCCACGAGAAGGGCATCCGGGATCGGGCGGTGAAAAAGCTGCGCCAGTATATCAGCGTGAAGACGCAGAGGGAGACAGGTGGGCGCCCGGCGGTGCGCCGCGCACATGGCGGCGGGGGCTGGGGAGCCCCGGGTGGGCCGGGGCGTGCGGGGAAGGGGGCCGGGCCGGGGGAGCCGCCGGCGGAGCTGGGGGAGCGTGCGGCACCGATTCGCACTCCTGCGTGTGCTTCTGTGTCCGCTTCCTGCTGGGTCTCGTCCGGTTCTACGGTTGAGGGACTGCGGCCGACAGGGTTAGGTGGTCTGCCGAAAGTCACAGCGAGTGGGGAAGCTGAGAATTAGACCCGTTCTGTCCGATCCCATGCCTGCACGTTGGATCAGTGGACTCTCCTGCTTGCTTCTGGGGCGCTCTTCATTGAGTTACGTCCTCACTTGACCAACACCTTTAGGTGCTGGGGTTACAGGAGAGAAGATAGAAACCCTACCCTCGAGGAAATTGTCCCGGGAAATCCAGGGAGGAATAGATAACTGAAACAGAGCTCGTATAAGTGAGGTAAAGAAAACGAAAACCAAGGAAAGAGAGAGCTCCTCTATACAGGCTGTTCCACAGGGCTCTCGGGGTGGCGTTCAACAGGTCTGAGAGGAGGCGAGAGGGAAGAGCTGGAAGGTCAGCAAGAGAGGGTGAGGGTGTTAACAGATGAAGTTGAAAAAGTAGGCAGTGGCCAGGTCACACGGGGCTTTTGTGGTTTGGATTTTAACTTCAGTGGGGTGCCACTGACGGATTTTGTTACCTCATCTGTAAACCTTTGAAGGAATGAACTACAGTACGCAGTGGAGGTTTTTATTGCACTAAGATAAAGACTGATTTGTTTATTGCTAGTATTAATACTTTGAGTCTATTTGAAAGAATTGATATCATTTATCCCTGTACTGACATCCTTAGTTTGTTTTATTTTGACAAGAAATCACAAACTACCCAGGAAAAAGAAAATACAGTTTCCTGGGAAGTCTGCTAGAGAGAGGAGTGAAGCCAAGCTTTCTGGCTTCGATCCTGTTAGGGGTCTCCCCGACAGATTTAAGTTATTCTTATCCCATGTATGCTAGAGGTTCCTAACCTTAACTTTCTATCCCAGACCTCTGCTGTTTTCAGCTCAGATAGGCCCTACTCACCTGACGTCTCCACCTGCACGTCCTCAAACTCAGAATGCCCAAAAGTGACTCATTTTCTTCCCTCCAAAACCTTCTCTTTTGGTGCTTCTCTGTTGCCCGTGGTCTTTTTAACGTTTGGCCGCACTGCGCGGCATGCGGAATCTTAGTTCCCTGACCAGGGATCAAACCCACACCCCCTGCATTGGAAGGCAGAGTCTTAACCACTGGACCGCCGGGGAAGTCTCTCGTGCTCTTTTATTTTGGATGCCAGTTTCCATCCTCCACTCAGACTCTAGCTGGACACGTGCATGGCCTGGACTACCCTTCCTCATCCTCTCCCTACACCCTGCATCCACTGTCCTTTGGTCTTCCCTGTTTCCTCTCCTGAATTACTCTGCCCTGACTGAAGGCCCCTCCATCTCATCTAGACTTATGCACTTGCTTACTTCCTGACTGATCTAACAACTCCATTTGGGCCCCCCTTGAGCCCAGGCTCCACAAACCAGCCTGGGCTCATCTTCCTAAAACAGCTGGATCACATCACCACCTTCCTGGAATTCCAGGTCTGCGGACCATGATCTGTCCTCTCTTTCTCCCCACCTCAGCCCCTATGTGACTGCTCCACCCTGATTCCTGGTGTACAGTACACCATTTATCACCTCTACCTTCCCTTCTCCTGTTCACTCAGAAAAGGTTCCCAGCCTTGATCCACTCCCAGCATTCAGTTCAGCATCGCTTGCCCCTAAATTCCTTACCTATCACCTCACCCTGCTCCTCTAGGATTTGGAGATATCCAGTATGTCTCTGTTGTGGCACTTAGCTGCACTGTTTCGTATTATCAGTAGATGTGCCATTCTCCCCCCAAAACACTGTAAGCTTCCGTCTGTTTTCCTAGCCGGAAGTGGGCGCACATCCAGACATACAAGGGCCTTCCTGTATACAGGAACAGAAGAGGGACCAGATGCAGTACATCGGGCTGAGGCAGCCAGACAGAGCCTGGTGCTCAAACCCCTTTGGTGAACAGGCTCAGGGTCCGAAGTGCCAAGGTGAGGCTGGGGGATGAGGCCGGGGGTGTGTACCAGTGCCCAGGGTCCGGTGTGGTTAGCGCCATCCCACCTGAGTTACTTGTCCTGTACTCCTTTTCACCACCATGGCCACCCTGCAGGGAATGTAGTGGGCCTTCCAAAAAGTAACTGCAAAGTGAATGTCTAGACAGTGATGATGCTGCAAAGTAAAACTATCTGCCACAGCTGTGCTTGTCAGAATAGAAACACAAGTTTAGAAATAACTTGGCCTGACAGTGAATCTCACTGACAGACCCAAGTTTTCTGTGTCGTCTTCGGCATAGCAAAGGCAGTCTGAAATTTTACTCCTGCTGTCTGTTAGCAACATAGAGAGCTTTGTAATTTCAAAAACAAATTGAAAATCTTTGTAGAACTTAAAGCAACTCAGTGTTGCTCTGCTACTTTAAGTGTTCCTGTTGATCACTCACAGTTGTAGAATAACCATGGTTTTATTCACAAGGGCTCATTTCGTCCCTGTTTATTCGTTCATATATTCAGCAAACATGCGGAGCGCCTCCTCTGTGCTATTATTATTTCGTGCACTACTCTTGGCACTGGGAGTGCAGCAGTGAACAGAACAGACAAGCATCTCTGCCTCTTTTATCCACTCTTCAGCTTTAAGCATTTAACATCCAAAATTGGGATAAATTTTAAAATCCACCTTGTGACAGTTTCGTTTGCGTTCCTGCTTTCTCTTGGCAGCACATAAGATAACAGTACATCTTATAGTTGATGGTGTCTTGGAGCCAATGGCAGTAATGGGGGAAACAAGTGTTTCTTCATACTGGCAGGGTTGGGGGTCTCTCAACTCAGTAGTTAGAGAAACGGGGAGCTATGGCTGTTTCCACACAGGTGTGGGGTCACGTGTTACGGGCTAAGCTGCCTCCTGGGCTGATGCGTGATGAGAGGAGCTGCTGGACTTGCTGTATCCACGTCTCACTTTCGTGTTCACCTCATTCATTCTGAAGCAACTAAACCTATATTATTGTTAGAAACTTAATTGTATTAAGTTTAAGAAACTCAACCCCCAAGAAAAAAAAGGCAAATCCAAGAGCAGCTGTGGGACAAAACAGCTTCAGGTATGTCTTCCTTCATCTTCAGGGTCTTGAAGGAAATTAGACGATGAACATTTCTCTGTTCTGCTTTACATGCTTCAAAGATTGGTACCTTGTTTTTACCAATTAAATTCCTGGGTGAAAATGAGGGATTTATATATATATATATATAATATATATATATATTATATATATATATATATATAAAATGTTGGAAACAGGTGTTTTTTTAAGGGAGACGCGCTCTACTAGGCTATGGGTATAGAACACGGGACAATCACAGTGATACCCGCCCACCGCGTAGTGCTTTGCTCTTACAACGTGCTTCTCATTTGTACACTTAGTTTCAACCCTAAGCATGAACCTGACACGTGTCACAGGTGACGAACAGGAGGCTCAAGGCCTTTCTAGGAGGGACAGCCAGCAGGGAGCGGACCAGGGCCTGCCCAGTGCTTCGTTCCCGCTGTACTCCGTTGCTCCACAAAGGACGAAAGTCAGAATACGCTTTCACGTCCAAGCCCCTTTCCTGCCCGCTGTCCAGGATCTGCTCTCACCTGTTACTTTGCCGAAATTTGCTGTTTTCCCTCACAAAGGCCTCTGTAGTGCATCCTAGCACACCTTTGCCTGGTACAGGTGTGGGTTATCCAGAGATGCTTGAATGCCTCACATGATCACTTAGAGGTGGTTTGACATGCTGCTGCCCTTAGAGAAGCCATCTGGAGATGAGTACACACTGTGCTCTTTTTAAGTGAAAAGGCTTCTGAGCTTGAGCACACACACCTGTGCGTTTCTGTATCACACATGAGTGTTGTGTAAACACACACAGGAAAGATGCCACCAGGCAGTGATCCCTCGGGGGGGAGGGGGGGGACTGGGTTTGGGTAGCAGTGAATAAGCCACTTTCAACTGTGTAGTCTGATATAGTATATGACTTTTTTGCCATAAATGTTCTTATTGGTTAGGGCTCTTTTTCAGTTGGAACTTGACAGAATATCCAAGCCACACTAGTTTTCAGGGGAAAAAAAACAAAGCACAGCTTTATGCAGGAGCTCCACTGATGGCACCAGAGCCCAGCTTCTCTGCAGACAACTCTGCTGCCCGCTGATGCTTCCATTCTCAGACAGGCTCCCAGCTGTGTGGCAGGGTCCAAACCGTGTCTTCTCTTCAATTCTCCCGGGAGAGATCAAGAGTCTTTCCTAAGGCCTGAGCAAGAGGATCTTGTCCAGCAGTGGGATGACCAACCCATTCTCACGCCAACCCCGTGGGCAAGGGGATTCCTGGTCCTCTGGCATAAGCCCAGCTGGCTGCTTCCCGCCACGTAGTCCTGCCCTGCTGCTCTGGCATAAGCCCAGCTGGCTGCTTCCCGCCACGTAGGTGAGCCCTGCCCAGCCCTGCCTTGAAGGGGGGCAGCCCTGGAGGGGGAGACCGTGTAGCTGCTTGGCAAAAACAAGGATGCCCAGTCCCATGCCTCATGCAGGAACTGGTGTCATTTAAATCCTGTTTCATCAGTGGTCATGCTTTTCCAGTTTCATTATGGTAAGTTTTCTAAACAGTAAGAAGAAGAAAGAAAACAGCCCGTGATAACATTTTGATAATCTCATGCAGTTCTTTTTTTCTTCTTTTAATTAAGGAATATTTCAAGTACATAATTTCAAATATCAGTACTTTGCTTCAGTATTTATTAATTACCTGGCCGGGTTGTCTAATTGGCCCACTTCCTCCTTCCCACGAGATTCTTGGGAAGCAAATCCCCAGCATCTCATTTCATCTCCTGATACCTCAGTGTGTATCTCTAAGATAGGGACCCTTCTTACCTAACCACAGCACCATTATCACACCTTCTGAACATTTTTCCTTAATATGAAATATCCAGTCTGTTGAGTTTTTCCCATCATTCCATAGATTCTTTATGACAAATCAGAATCCAGACAAGACCCACCCATTGCGTTTGGTTGATATGTCTACAAAGATCTTAAATTCCAGCAGGCTTATCCACCTTTTTTTCCCTTGCAGTTTATTCATTGGAGGAACTGGGTCATTTGTCCTACAGAGTTTCCGACATCTGGGGTTTTGCTGGCTGCATCCCATGGTCTCATTTGACATGTTCCTCTGACCCCTGTATTTCCTGCAAACTGGTATTAATAGTTAAGATTTGAAGTGGTGTAGATTAGCTTTTTCATTTTTGAGAGAATACTTAACAAGTGGTGCTGTGTCCTTCCTGTTGTATCACATGGGACATCTCATGGGCTTGGGTGTTGTTGGTCTGATTCATCCATTGTAACGCTCCTCGATATTTTTTCACCTAATGTTTTAGCAGCCATTGATGATCCTTGCCCAGATCCACTAATTCATTAGTCTTAACACAATTGGTTGTAAACACAGGTGACTATGACAGAGTTACTACGGCCGTGACTGCAGTTGGCTCTGCGCTGGTGGAACTTATCACTAACACTATAGCTGTGCAGTCAGCTGTGGCTTATTTATTACAAGATGGGGAGGAAACCAGTTGGCACATCATTTGCCCGACCCCTAAAGGAAAGGCATTTTAATAAACCAATGTTACTGTAGTTTCTGGTGAAGTGAGAGCCCATCACATAGAATCAAAATGCACTATAATGAAATTGTTGGTATGAGAAAGGTCTTTAGTAACTTGGAAATCAATACCTACAAAGCTCTAAAGCATACTCTGAATAAAATAAATAAACCTCATTCTATCGAAAGGGATCTCTTGGTCACTTTTAACTTAATTATGCTTTGGAGGATTGAAATCACATTGATTCCAGATACATACTTGTTTACATTCACCTAGTTTATCCTTTGCTGCTCCAAAAGATTCTTCCTAGTACCTTCTAGTGAAATATTAATAATGACCATTTGTAACAGGCATCAAGGCTTGAGGATTCTGTTTGTTCTCCATAGGCTTGGAAACTGCAAGGGTGTACACTTACCTGATTTTGTGGGTTCTTATGTTACTCAGCAATTGTTCCCTGACACCTGGGGTCCACGCAGGAGACAGAAGTCTGTGTGCAACGTGTGGCTTGGTCATAGGCGGTTCAGGCAGAGGCGAGGGTCTTGAATAATGAGTGAGAACAAGGCTGACCAGGGTGATGCCACTTCAAACAAGACTACGCTTGCCCAGTAAATGAAAACTGTAACCAGGAGAGAGGGAGATCAAGGTACAGCCGGACGTACGATCCTTAAAAGGGTCATCTTTGCAAAAATAGCCCAAAGCTTTGCCAGTTTCCTTGGTCTAGTTGTACAGGACTTCAGCAAATCCCTCATCTTTTGTAGGATTTGCTGTTTTGCTTTGCAAAACCAGTGAAACTATTGGTGTGCAGGGTGAGGTGCTAGTTTTAGGCAGAGGGCCACTTGGGGGAACTCGTAAATGACCACTGAATTAGTTAATGTTTCGTCGTGATGACATTTGCTTCTTTCCTCAGATAATAAGAACACGCCACCACTACCGCCCTGCCCCACAGCTGATAAAACTGCCTATTTTATGTGTGTTTGTTTTGTAACAGCAAGAAAATGTACGCTTCAGATTTAAAAAGACATTTGCAAGTGAAAGAATGAAAACGTATGCAGTATTATTTTCACGGCTTACGTGGCAGTTCTAAACTTAGAAAGGAAATGTTTGGACTCTAAAATAAGATTTTTATGCTGTTTTACCCTCTAGGAGGTTTCAGCCAAGAAGAACTTCTAAAAATATGGAAAGGGCTCTTCTACTGCATGTGGGTGCAGGATGAACCCCTTCTCCAGGTAACCTACAGTTCCCTTTGTCATATGACTGGATTTTGGGCACAGGTGGATAAGAGACCTGCCCATTTTATGCTGTATCCATCCCTAATGTACGGAGACAAACTGAAAACCATTGCTTCAAGGGATCACTTTCTGACCTCTTGTCCATATAGAAAGGGATGCAAGCAGTGAGGTTAATGAGCTCTTCAAAGAACAAAGAAGACACATAAATTAGATTTATTATTTCTCTGTCACAGTTTCATAGGTTCCACGGTAGGTTTTATTTACATTACTTATTTTAAAGTTTCTGTTATATCTTTTATTATTTGTGGTCAAAAACAGCATGGCACTAGTCTAAGGTCGTGTGAGCTACCCCGGCTCCAGGCCCACCTCTGCCACAGCTAAGTGGGTGCCCGGGACTGGGCGGCCCCCATGCTGGGGGCAGGGTCTTTGTAGAGTGAGCAGCGGCCCCAGATCTGATGGCCTCACCCGCAAAGGCAGTGGAGACTTGTCACTGGTGTGCGTGCTCACCTGGACCCCTGTCTGCCGAGCACACCGAGCCCCGCCACCAAAACTATCAAAGAAAATGGTTTAGGCTCTTTAAGAGCTCTGTTCTGCCGTGTAAAAGCAGGCCTGCCTTTGTAGCAGTAGGGGGTCAGCCTTAGGAAACGCTGTTTGCAGCCCCCTGACACGTCATGGGTGGGTTTTACTCGGCTGGCTTTTACCATGCAGCTTTGCCACTTCCCCTAAGCTGTGTAATGACTCACTTGGATTTATTGCCTTTATTCCACTGAACATGTTTTGAGTAGGATAGCAGAGCAAAATATTTTTAAGTTACATTCAAAGTAACAGTAACCAACAGCTTTAGTGGAGGAAGAAAACAGATGAAAACAGATAAAAGGGAATATCACTTGCAAGTCTGGGAGTTCATTTAAAATGCATAAGAAAGACTTGAGTCCAGGTAGTATCGACAAGGATTGTTCTTTCCTTCTGTAACTCATAAACAGTTATTTTGTTGACACTCCTCCAGGCAGGTTTCTTCATAGACCGAGACACCAAATTCTCCCCAGCGAGCTTGTGTGGCTCAGCAGGATGGGCTCTTCACGTGGCGTTGGATGCCCTTAACCTTTCCTACCGCCCTGCCTTTGCAGCCTGTCTCTGAGCAAGCCAACGAGAGGACTTCCTGGTTCCACACGGAGCCTCGTGGAGTGACAGTCCCGGTGTCTGCCTCCCGGCCACTCCCCCTCTTTGGCACCTGTGTTTCCATTATTTGGGAGTTTGGATGGAATCTCAATTCAAGTTGTATTTTGAGAGCCAGGACTTGTTGACAGCTAGTGTGTTTCTTCTGTCGGTCATTTGAGCGCATAGCTGGAGATGACTTGTGTAAGCGTGCGGCTTAGACAGTTCTCAAAGGCATGTTGAGTTGGCACAGTAGTCCGTCGAAATTGGGAATTTCACATTTGATGAAATCCAGATATCCAGATACACTCTTCTTAGTGGAAGTGACATTGAGAACAAGAGCTAGAGACGCCCCTCCCCTCAGGCCATGATGCTGTCATCTCAGTGGTACCACGTAATAACCCCGATGTTTTTCCCCAACCCCACCTTTGCAGGAGGAGCTAGCGAACACTATATCCCAACTCATCCATGTTGTTAACAACTCAGAGGCTCGTAAGTCCTGATATTTTCATGACTTTCAAAACTTCCTTGTTCATCAGATTTGGTAACTTGCCTAAGAAATCTAGTCAATATTGTTTCTTCTCCTTCCTTCACATTTTCCGTTTTCCAATGGGCTAGCTTCACATGAACCTGGGCTGCTAGTGTGTCAATGTCAGGCGACAAACCATCCCATGGGGAAACTGTTAAACACACTGAGAGGGTGACGAAGGAGGAGTCCTGTGGGACACCACATTTGGCATCTCAGAAATTTCCAAAAAATATTTTAAGAAATAGCAGTCCTCCAGAGTTTCCAAATCCTGAGTTACTTTAGCACTCTTAGAGGCTGTGTGTGAATATGCTGGTGTTTGCAGTAGCCTCTGGATGGAGAGGATGGCTTATCCTCCCTAAGACTAGAGCCATTTAAAGTCATCACTGGTAACAAGCTGTAAAGTAACCCCTCTTGGCCAAAAAGAATAAACAAAGGGAGGAATTAATTATTTCTGAGACATTCAGGCTTTGATAAGTTACAGAGGAAGAGAAAGCAGAATTCGCTTCTTTTGCTCAGCCCTCCTCAGAACACAGCCATCCACTGGCCTTATTAACCCTCAGTGGTTCTCTGGATTTTTAGCAGGGTCTCAGCTGACCTCGTAAGGACCAAAATTCTACACATGGAGTATACTGTAGCTTTTCATATATCAAGAGAGAATTGTGCAAAAAGAAGTAAAGCAAAAAAAACAAATTATTTTGGGGTGAAAAAGTGCTAATTTCATGGCTCAGAAGAGAAAAATAGAATGTTTTGTTAGACCTCACCCAGCTGACACTGAACATGAAAAAAAAAAAAAAGCCGAGTTTCTGCATGGATCCTCCAAGTGTTCATCAGAATTAATGGCTTTGGATTGACTGTTAGGTAGAGATGGGCTTTGAAAAAGGGCCAGTAGCTGTGGCTCAGGAAATCTTTTGATTTTTAACAGAAACGTGGCTTGGCAGTGGATAATGAAACACTCTCCAGACAGCGTTGGAGTTGAACATTAAGATATTACCAGCCTTCCTGTTATTAAAATATGCTTTTATGTAAATGTAAAAGAAGTTATTGAGCATACTTAGTTACTGACCAGATTTTCTAGCCGCCCAAGAATTCTTGAGAAGAGTGAATAAACAATCCTAGTCTGTCTCCCTTCGTTACTTTCTTGCTGTGTGGTAACATGGTACCCTGTAAACCAAGCATTCAGAGCCCCTTGTTCACTGCAGAGCACCTGTTCATCCAGACCTTCTGGCAAACCGTGAACCGGGAGTGGCCAGACATCGACGGGCTGCGTCTGGACAAGTACCACATGGTGAGGGCGGGGCTACAGCCCCTTTACTCGGGGCTGGGGGCGGGCGGCAGCTGGCGGACCGTGCCAAGGTTGGTTGGTGCAGTGCACGGTAAGGCGACCAGCGGAGAGCGTTGGAAGATGCGCTCAGAGCCGTCTGTTTTGTTTGGGCATCCTTAGTTAACCGTTTCTGTTCTAGAAGCTAAATATGATTATTGCAGAAACTTTTTCACTTTGGGGATGCAGGCTGTACCCGTCATCCTGCTCAGCTGATGGATATTTCTCACTTTGCCTTTCTTTGTAACGAAAGTTGTCTGTCTCTATAGCTGATCCGTCTGGTCCTGAGGCAGTCCTTTGAAGTTCTGAAGCGAAACGGCTGGGAAGAAAGGTTGGTAAACTATATGGGTTAGCGTTTGGGGGCCTTAAAACTTTTAAGGCAATAGTGTGGTTTCAGGTCTTTCAATTAACAAGTTTGAATCACCTGATCCACGCCTTCCACTCTGTGTACCAAGAGCAAAACATCCTTATGCGTGAAGAACTTCAAATCCAGCAGATCTGAGCACACGTGACAGCATTTTATACTTGTTTCAGTGGTTGTCAAACTTTTTCCGCCTCACGTTGCTTGTTAAGCAGGGGGGCACGAGAGCGTTGCCAATTTCTCTGGGGGAAGAGAGGATGTTGGCAGCTGGGGTTAACAGAACCATGTGTGTTGTTTCCTGTAGCCGAATCAAGCTTTTCCTGGACGTCTTGATGAAGGAGATCCTACATCCTGAGAGTCAGTCTCCAAACGGAGTGAAATTCCACTTCATTGATATTTATCTGGATGAACTGTCCAAGGTGGGAGGGAAAGA